ATTTCTTCATGGCGTCCCTATTACACAATCTATTCCACCAATTTTTAACATTAGGTCTACTATCCCATAAATCGGCATGTGTGACAGTATCATAGGCGTAATAAGTACCAGGACAGATAGCGAGATCAGCTAAAGAAAATTCGCCATTCAAATATTCTTTTCCTTCTAAAAGCTTCTCATAAACATCTAAAACCTTAGCAAGTTCTTCACGAGATTGCTTAATAACTTCTTGGTCCGGGTCTTTATTCTGAAATCTTTTAGCGAATTTTTCATTATAAACGATTTTTGAGAGCGGTGGGTCATAATAAGATAATTCATAAGAAATGTATTGATCGACTAATGCAGCTTGATGAACATCGTTAGGAATCAAGTTCGTAGTATTATGTTTGCCTTGGTATTTAGATGCTAAGTAACGACAAATTACACGAGATTCGGTAACTCTAAAATCATCATCAAAAAGAACTGGCATTTTTCCGCTGTTATAACGTTAGTAATCAAATTACCGTATATATAAACATCTAGAACATGTAATACTTACAATGGGTGCTTATTCGCGATATAATCTTCATCTTTTAAAGATTGATAAGTAGCTGGAGGTTCGAGTTCATAAGAAAGACCTAATTCCCTAAGGCATATAATAACTCTTAGAACAGGGCCTGAGGCAGTATATCCAATAAGTTTGATAGTCATTTTTTTTTTAATGTTTATCTAACTAAAGACAAGAAAGACGAAATGGATGTGTATTTAAGCATTTTGTGTATTAACTTTTAAATGAGGCTAACGCTAAGCCCTTATTTCTGATTACTAAATAATTTTTTCTAAATTTTTCTATACGTAATCTGATATAAACAATAAACGTACGTACGTACGTACGTACGTAGAACGGCATGGAAAATAATTATTAATCAAAATTGCTAAACAAACAGGTGTAAAGTCCTGTTCGGAACGGTCATTTAATAAACCTGTCCGATAATTAGCCAAATAGAAGTAACCAATGCATTCGTTGTTACGTACATACGTGCATATTCGCGGGCCGATAAAACAATTGACTTAAAACCCCGTGCCGATTTATGGGATAGTAGACCTAATGTTAAAAATTGGTGGAATAGATTGTGTAATAGGGACGCCATGAAGAAAT